ACACACACACACAGAGAAAAAGAGAGAGAAAGACAGAAAACTTTTAAAGCTGTACCTGATGAAGAAGGAAAATTATCCTAGAGGTTTCAGAGAGGGGGGCAAAATAAACTCTCCTGGCTCTAATCCAGAAATTCTCAACATGAATCACTTATTTGTGAAGATGTTGGCAATAGCTGTTAATATATGAATGCATAACTTGGGAGGGACCGTCTATTAAACTGGGCCAATAGCATTGTTCCATTTCTCAAGGCAATGAGAAACTTTGTGAGAGAATGACTGGTGCAACTGGACATCATGGGAAAGCACTGATTACCCTGAGAAAGGAAAGGATTTGGACTTCAGGTTCTAGATTTCCCAACAGACTTTCTCCTGGAAGGGACATCTGGTTGATACTGTGATGGGTCTCCCATATGCTCCTACACTGACGGATATGCTGCCTTCCTATTGGGGACCACTGTCGGCAGAGAATCTTCAGTTATCTCCCCAGCCACCACCACACTTTCAGGAATTTCATGGGTCCATTATCATGCCCCTCCCAGGGCTGCTCACGCATGCTGATGACCCGTATTGCCTTGTTGTTGTTTAGTCGCTAAGTCGTGTCTGACTCTTTGCAACCCCTTGAACTGCAGCATGCCAGGCTTCCCTGTTCTTTGCTATCTCCCAGAGTTTGCTCAAACTCATGTCCGTTCAGTCGGTGATGCCATCCAACCATCTCATCCTCTGTTGTCCCCTTCTCCTCCTGCCCTCAGTCTTTTCCAGCATCATGGTCCAGCATCATCCAGTAAGTCCACTCTTTGCATCAGGTGGCCAAAATATCAGAGCTTCAGCTTCATTATCAGCATCTTGCCTCGTTCAGGGCAATTGTTCTGGGCACTGGCCAAGATTGGCATTGGGCCTGCACTCTCTCTTGGACCTCTCTCTCTCTCTTCCCAGTCTTGCTCTCTTCCCTTCAACAAGAGTTGGTCCCTAGAGTATTTTTGCACGGGGTATTCAGAGTTTCCTTCCTAGGGGACCAAATTTGCAGTACGGCTCAAGTACAGGGAAAAGAAATTATATTTGGAAGCCATTTCTTCCAAAGGAAAGATCAAAGCTCTTGACATTTCTGTAAAGGTACAATGCAGATGAAACCTCCCCTTCAGAGGTGCTATAACCCTTCAAAGAAGTGTAACAAGCTTTTAGAAAGGTTCTTTAAGTCAAAAGTCATTTGTCCTCATTCTTAGGCAAAGGTAGCTAAGCTAGCAGTGCCAGTTCCTGTAACGGGAGAGGGAAAGAGCCTGCCTCTGCTCACATTAGTCGATGATGTTAAGCTGGTTCTTTCTCAAAATTGTGCTGTGTGATTCTGCCTCTGTAGCTGTACTTGAGATAAAAATAATCCCCAACCCTTCTCCCAATTTTCCAAAAGCTGAAGCTATTCTGAGGTTAAGTGTTTCTGATTTGTGTCATACCATCTCCCATAAACAAGGCCAAGAATACAAGCTCCCAATTCTCAACATTGTTTTATGAAGGAATTAATGATACCTACTGAGGGTTTAGGCTGTCTCATCAGCCCCAAAGACCTAGCCTCTCTTGTTTACAACACAGTTCTCTCTAAGTGTACTTTTATTACAAAGGATAAGGCAGCTATTTTTCCCTTTAAAAGGTAATATTTTTCCCAGAAAGGAGTGGGCAAAACTGGGCTTAGGTACAATGTTCTGAATGTTTGCATCTCCCTCAAATTTGTATGTTGAAACCCCAAACTCCAATGTGATGTTTTAGGAGGTGGGACTTTTGGGAGGTAATTAGGTCATGAGGGTGATACCTTCTTAAATGGGGTTAGTGCCTTCATAGAGGGGACCCCAGAGAGCTCTCTCACCCTCTTTCTGCCATGTGAGGCTATAAGAAATAGGTGGTAGAAAGACAGGTGGAAGGAAGTTTTCTCACTATATAAATTTTTTGTACATTTTGAATTTTTACCCATGGGGATAAATAACCTATATTTAAAATGAATAATGATGTCCCATTAGATCCAACTTAAAACTTCAATTGTATACCTAGTTCAAAGCTTCTTCCCCCTTCCAGGTCTGGCATGAACTATGGAACCCCAATCTGCAGCTAGATGGAGTAAGGTCTCTTTTCTTCTCTATTTACTCCTCCCCCCTTCATTCCCTTGCTCTTGGCCTGCAGGGGTGGGATGCAGTTTGGATAAAATCTCTTTGAATGTGCTGTTTGTGGTTCTCTCCTGATGGTCCACATGCTCCAGGTTTCTGGCTCTTTGTGGATTTTTCAGTAATTCCTCTCCTCCTTCCCTGACTAGTGAATTCCATCTGGACAGCATCCTGATGTGAGTTTTATGCTCTTTGGCTGAACTCTGATAACTCCCTCTGCACCCTCTTGCTCCTGGGGGTGGGGAGAGGGGAGTCTTCCATGGTCTTTTATCCTAAGGTTCGTTGTTCCAGTAGATCCTCTTAGGGGGAAGCTAGCTTTCTTTCCCAATGTCCATTTCACTGATGGGACTATTATGCATTTTGCCACACCAAATACTTCCCTGCCTGCCAACGAGGGCTGCTCCAGCTGGCCCCCTGTCTGGAATTCTCCAATCAGGAAGCAGACATTAGTCTCTAGGTTAGTCTCAACCAAACTCAAGTTTTCCTGAGCATTCTTTGACCAGATCTACTCTAAGGCACTGTGAAGGGTGCAAGAATTTCTGCCTTGGATTTAATCTCATATTTTTGTCAGTTGGCTTGTTAGGAGCCCTCTCCCACTAATTTGCCTGTGAGTGGGAGAGAAAAAAAAAAAACAAACACATCAAACTGACAACTCATGACTCAGAAGAATTCCCTCACTGAATGAATCCCTGTCTTTTGCTTACTGGAGCTGCTGGACAGTGACAGCGAAAATCCAAAGACAAGTTTGGCCACCTCTTATTGAAGTCAGGAGAGAGGTAGCCTCTAGGCTCCCCTTCTTAGAATGTGGAGATATTTATGACTTGTTGCCAAATGGAAATGTCCTGTTCCACATCCAGTTACTAGTATTAGTAAAAACCTCACAATATCATCCTACCACGTGAAGAAGAAAGTTTCTATTTTTAATAACTACCATTTATTGAAGGTTTCAGTTCAGTTCAGTTTAGTCACTCAGTCGTGTCTGACTCTTTGCGACCTCATGAATCAAGGTTTACGAGGTACTAAAAATTTTACATGCAAATACATTAACTGCTCATAACCCTATGATGAGTTAGGGAGTTTCATCCCCTTCTTGGTGAGAAAACCTGAGACCCAGAGGTCATATAGTCAGTGGCAGAGTTGGAATTTGAATCCAGATCTGTCTGACTCCAAAATCAATCTGCATACAAAGATAAATGGTATAGATCGTGTCTAGTGCAGTAGCCTCTCATTAATGAGCTGTGGACTTGGGGTGGTGGTGTAGTTATTAGGAGGGATTGAAATATCTTTAGGAACATCAACCACTGTGGGTGAACTTAATAAATAATGTAAATGGTATTTCTCTTACATGTTAAGTCAGTAAATAATGAGTTCTCTCTTTGTGCTAGGCATTGTTCTAGGTGCTGGAGATACATAAGGTTCCAAAAAAAAGAAAAACCCTTTCTTTGTGGAGATGAAAATTCATTAAAATCATACCAAAGTTATGTATTTCATCATCATCCATTTTAGTAATTAAATGAAACAAAAATATAAGTATTATCATGTAAAACTTTGCTCTTTAAAATGAGTCTTTACTCTGGACCTATCTGGAAACCACTGGTAATATTTAAATGATAGCAAGGACATGATCCATTAGATCGGAGGAATTTTGGGTTCTGTCAAATCCAAGCAGGGACTTGCAATATCTGGGTCACAGAGCAAATACTTGGCAATCTCCATGGGTAATCCCACTCCTACCTTACATGTATCTCTGTGTAGATTATGATGATTACTTAAGTAAGTTAGGGTTATAATTTCATTGATGATAAAGATGAGGACTAATGATCAAGGTCAAAGGCAGGGAGGTGGGTTACTTTATTTCTTGCTAACCCTTTGACTCTTAAGACTCTAGGAGGTCCTTTCTAAAGTTCTTACAGAGGAGTGAACCCTTTGTTCAAACAAGGAGCGGTCTCATTTGATCCATGGCACAGATGGTAAAGAATCTGCCTGCAAAGCCGGAGACCGGGGTTTGATCCCTGGGTCGGGAAGTTCCGCTGGAGAAGGAAATGGCTACCCACTCCAGTATTCTTGCCTGGAGAATCCCATGGATTGGGAAACCTGGCAGGCTACAGTCCATGTGGTCCTAAAGAGTCGAACACGACTGACTGACTAATACTAATATGATCTTTAACTTCAGTCCTCCGGGATCTCCAGGAGAGGAACTCTATAGGCTTCATAATAGCTTGTTTAACCAAAAGCTTCATATTCCAAGAAGTTAGGTGCCAGGAAGGTAGCGTTTGGTCTTTCTCGTCACATCCTCGTCTTCACTGCACGAGTTCAGATTCATCGTTCCCTTTGGTAATTCCCGGTCCTCGCAAGGGTATCACCCTCTCCATATGGTAGATGGGGAAATGAAGGAAGTCTGCACCTTGGCCTTGGAAGGGCCTTGAAACGTTCTGCATTGCTCTTTGCACCTCGCTTCATTGTTTCCTCACTCCTTTTGACACCGTGACGGTGGCTTTGACTCCCCCTTTTCTCTTCCGCTTCCCTTTCCGCAGCCCCCCACCCAAACTTCCCACAAATTGTGGCCATTGAACTACATTTCCCATAATGCCCCGCGCCGACCGGCGTCGGTGGGGTGTCCCCTGAGCTGCCAGTTGTGATTATTGTCGGGCTAAAGCCACGTTTCCGGGGAAAAGCCAAGCTATTGTCCACTTCTTCGTTAAGACGCCTTTTTCTTCTCTACCTGCGAGGACCAATGTTGGGTGAAGAGGCCTCTGTGGAGGTAAATTCATACCGGCGAACGCTCTGGCCACGCGTTTCCTCCTCGCGCCTCGGTCCCCGCCAGGTTCCCCGGGGGCCTGGGAGTGTCATTGGCGGATGACCGCAGCCCTCGCTGCTGCCCGTGCCGCTGCGATCATGGCCTCTGGCAGCAGCGGCCTCGCCGCCGCCCGCCTCCTGTCCCGCGCCTTCCTCTGTGAGTCCGGCCGGGACTCTGTCCTCCAAGCCCCCGCGAGTTCCCGGCTTCACCTGGCCCAGCGCCCCGATCCAGGCCGCGGCTGGGCCCTCCGGGGCGGGACCTCGGCGGGGGCCCCAAGCTTGGGACCCTCGGGGACGGAGGAAGCTTTGCTTGTTTTGTGGGGCGGGAACCTGTTGGGCTGCTGGCGAGTGGGGAAGTAGAGCGACTCAGCCAGGATTCGGGTCTGGGAGCACTGCAGACGTGGTGTCTGGATCTTGCACGCCCTTGATCCTCCGGTGATGAGTGGGGGATGGGGGCGGCATCTGGACAGGATCTTCAGGAAAGTGACAAGTGATGTGGCCCAGGATGAAGTCTCTGGGAGGGTGAGTGGGTTGAGAAGTACGGGCAGGGAATCGGTAGGAAATTGGAGAGTCAGGCTGAGCCTTGCACCGGACGGTCCTATACTTTAAATTGTCCTTTCCTTAGACTGTAAGGTGAATCTGCAGGAGGATGCATTTAGAGTCAGCACAGCCCAGAAAACTGCAAGTTTAGGGTTGGCTAGGACCTTAACCAACTTACTTGTAGTGTCTCCACCGAGAAGTGTGAATCTTTCAGTTCCTGAAAACTTAACACCCAAGGTTGATAATAACGCTGACTGTTGAAAATTCTTGCTATGTTCAAAGTCTCTGTGTTTGTTAGGTAGGCTGTGTAGGAAAAGACTTTGGCATCAGCCACATCAGCGTTTGAAGTCTGCCTGGTTCTGTACAGTCTAGGTAATAACTCTGGGGGGTGTTTCTACATCTGTTTCTCAATTTCTGTTCACGTTCCATGAAATCATTACCATATTTTAGTCAGTCTGAGACACTGTCACTTGTAAGATGTACTGCTCTTTTGTCTGCCCTAACAGTGGGAAATGATTGCTAATTAAAACTGTGACACACCATTGGTTGTCAGTCTCATCCTGATTTAAGAAATGTAAAAAAAGAAAAATTGAAAAAAAAAATGCATTCTAAAAATGATGAAGTCCAGGATTCACCATGCAGAATAAAGGGAACAATTTATATAAAGCACCTTGGATGAAATAGGTACTCAACCAAAGTTAGTTTTTTTCTAACTTCCTTTTTTCTGCTTTGCTCTTAGTTCTGCTGCTGGTACTGAATATTGGACGAGATGATTCATTTCTTGAGAAAATGACATTTTAAAAGTGTACAGCAATGATTGTACACTCTGTTGCTACAGTCAGCTACCAGGTCACCTAAGAACAAACCTTGGCAAGTAGGAAGAAGTTGGGTTTCTTTGGAAGAGTTTTCTGGAGATTTTTATTACATAATTTAAAGGATAATCAAGGATATTGTAGGCAGAAAGAAGAAAGGAATTAGTTATACCCATGTCTTTCTTGCTTTTCTGAGTTTCTGAAAAATCCTTGCTTCAGATAGGTTTGCTGTCTTAGGAGAAGAGTCTATAGAAGAAAGTGTCTGAAAGATTAAGATCTTGAATCCACCCTTAGCGATACTTAACGAACCTGTTCTCACAGAGCCTGAGCTTCTTTATTCTTTATTCCTAGACTTCGGGATCCTGAGGGCTTAAGAGGTCATCTAGTTTAGCTTCCTGTTGCTGGCATGGCCTTGAATTATCCTAGGCATGTGATTACCTTGTCACTAAAGGTCTGAGATCTAAACCAAGGTATCTTTTATATTAGAGAGGTTACAAATAACGGGGTTGATGTTTAAGAACCTCTGAATCTCCCACATCTTTTCTCATGTCACATTCCTAAGCCCATTTCCGCTATCACAGCCACAACAATAGCACCTTGCAAACTTTTTTTTAAAGACAGTCACAAATTATTTAGGCTCTGAGGTTAGTAGTAGAACTAGAGTTACTGTGGAGTTTTGTCCCCTTTATTCTCTTAAGTTTTAATGCACATTTTGTGCTGAAGGTCGTAGGTGTTGCAATGTTGATTTGAGTTAAGAAAAAACTCCACAAACGCTTTTCGATGCCTCTGGGAGACCTGATGAGGGCAGCCTAGAATATTTAGAAATTCTTGAGCCAACAGAACAGTCCTTAGGAGAAGAGAGAAAGAACTCAGTTGAAATGGGAGAGAAAATAAAATGAAAAGTAAGAAGGATTTCTTCCATGAGAATGCTTAAGGATTTTATTAGCACCTTTGAAATTGAAATAGTGAAAGATTTCAAGAAGTATAAGGTAGTGCAAAATTCTTTTAAACACAAGCCAGTAGTTCCTATAAGTTGGGTCTTTGAGAAGTAAATAGAGAGCAAGAGCTAGTATTTTTTATCTTTACTGCGGTATAATTGACACGAAACATATTAGTTTTAGGTATACAACCTAATATTTTTATATTTGTATATATTGTGATGTCTGTTTACTGTGATATATGTTTATCACCATGCATAATTTCCCATTTTTATTTCTTGTGATGAGAACTTTTTAGCTACTTTCAAATGTGCAATATAGTAGTATCAACTGTAGTCACCATGCTCTACATTACATTTCTTGACTTATTTTATAAGTGGAAATTTGTGTCTTTCCTCATTTGCCCTTTCACCTTCCAACTCTGGCAGCACCAGTCTGTTTACCTGTGAACTCAGGTTTTGTGTCTCTGTTTTTTTTTTTTTTTTTTTTAAGATTCCGCATATAATTGAGATCATCTGGTATTTGTCTTTCTCTGTCTGATTTATTTTACTTTGTGTAATGCCCCCCAGGTCCATGTGTGTTGTCACAAATGGCAAGACTTTCTTTTTTATGGCTGAGTAATATTATATATTGTGTGTCTGTGTGTGCATATTAACATATATACCACGTTTTCTTTATCCACTCTTCTGTTGATGGACACTTAGGCTGTTTCCATATCCTGGTAATTGTAAACAGTACTGCAGTGAATATGGGGCTTCCTTTCAGTTTAGTGTTTTCGTTTCCTTCAGGTAAATACTTGGAAGTGGAATTGCTGGGTCATATGACAGTTCTGTTTTTAATATTTTGAGGAGCCTCGATTGTGTTTTCCATAGTGTCTGCACCAATATCCTTCCTACTAAAGGCACACAAGGGTTCCCTTTCTCCAGATTCTCATCAACACTTACTATTTCTTGTCTTTTTGGTGATAGCCACTGTAACAGGGGTGAGGTGAAGTCTCACTGTGGTTTTGGTTTGTGTGTTTCCCAGACAATTAGTGATGTTGAACTCCTCTTCACGTTACCTGTTGGCCATCTGTATATATTCTTTGGAAAAACGTGTATTTAAGAGCCAGTATTTTTGAACTTCAGAAGTAAGGCGTTTTGATGCCAAAAAGTGAACCGTACAGCCAAACTGGTCACATTCCTTTGTTTGGCAAATATGGAAATAAACCCCAAATGTTTCCTCGCCAGTATCAGTATAGGTACTAGAGCTGAGGTCTTCTGACTCTGCAGCATCCTTTCTACTACATACTTGCTGGGTGATACACTGAGCCTCCTTTTTTTGAAGTTCTGATTTTTCTTTTTCTTTGGCAACCTCACTGGTTTGTTGAGGAGGTTACTACTCTGCTCAGAGGTGTCATCTGCCTTTTCCACGTGTTTGCCAAGTTGTACAGTCCTGTTTTGGGAGTTGGGAAGATATTTAGAAGTGTAGTTTGGAAAAGGGGATCCTCAACAGTGGTGTTTCTGATAACTAGTACCTGTTGTCATTGCATCTAAGAACCAAATCTTTATTTCAGAAATACAGAATGGCCTTGATCTCAATCTATCAATGTAGCCATGAGAAGGTGACTTGATTACCTGACCTCAAACTTGTTTTTCCATAAAAACTTAGTTGGGAATATTAAAAGTAATTTCTCCAAATATAGGGGAAGAATATAATTTCCACCAAAGGCAGGCATTTTGTTGTCATAAACCCACATTTTTTAATATTATATTAATACCTAAAATTGGGATGTTTTATAATTGATGATATCTTACAGTAAATTGGCAGCATTTTCTTCACACTGGTTCTTAATAGTGCTTCTTCAATTTTTTTTTTTTTAGTAGTGCTTCTTAAAATCAGTAGTGTTTTAGATTTGATGAAATATAGTACTTAGAGCCCATTATGCTTCATCTGTAAGTAAATACTACATGAATATATAATTTCACATCTGAATAGTAGATTGGGGTTTAGAAGTAAGTGGCTGCTGAGCTACTCTTTAAGGCCCTCTAGGTAGGGACCCCAATAGTCTGCACATTATAGATGTGTAATACATATGATTAGTAAGTATACATTTGTTAAAATCAGGAATACATACCTGATTAAATGAGCAACAAAAGCATAGTTTGAGAGAGCAGTTGGAGTGGGAGTATTTTCATGAATAGTCTCAGGCTACTGGTTAGGAGCACAGTACTGGTCACACACCAGTGACCAGCGCCATCCGTGGTCTTGGTCCAATGTGGGCAGCTGCTTTTGGCCACACTTGCATGCACACAGCAGCCACCTTGTGGATGGTGTGGTCACTCTGAGGGGGAGAGAACTCGCATGTGGCTGGCTGATACACATTTTTTTCAGATTACTTAGTCTCTTTCGTTCATAGCCTTTATTACAGTTGGCACTGTTGGGGTTTTGTGTTTCTTTGTGTAATGTTTATATCTCAGGAAGCTTCAAGTGGGCCTCAGTCTGTCTTGTTACCCCTGAATCTCTAGTGTCTGGGAGAGAGCCTGTCACAATGAATATCTCAAAGCAGTTTGGTCTTTTCATTCTATGTCAGTAATAAATAGCTAGTAGTGAAATCACACTTTCTCTACCCTAGTTATTATGCTGCATGCTCTCTATATTATTATCTCATCTATTCTCATGTTGCCTGTGAGGTGCATAATATTATCCCCATTTTTACAGTACGGCTGCATCTTTAAAAATATTTCAGATGCTAAAAATTTACTAGTACATGTCTGCCTATTGAATGTTTTATGTAGACATGGATTAGTATATTTACATATAAGCATATATAGGTTATGCATGAGAATGTAAAACCCTTCTGATTTATTTGATTTTAAAATATGAAT